AAAAATTTCCAACAAAGTAAGAATATGCATCGAAAAATTTCCCCCGTAAATGGAGTTTCCATTGGCGATTTCCCATTCCATAGCCAAATACAGCTTTAATCAAATACCTACTAGCATTTTACTATCGCAAAAAAGAAAGAGTGAAGTGTTAAAGAAACAGCTGCGAGGTATTTTTGGTGCTTATTTTTAACACAAATTTCACTCGGCAAGAGCGTATTGGAGCAGTTCATAGACCGAATTGGTGATACCCCATGATAAGAGTGACCTGTAACATGTCAGAAATTAAACATGTTGTAACGTTTATTTCAGAAATCTCTACTAAAATGTTTTGTTTTGAAATTTATTGGCATAAAACACGAAGAAATCTGCTGCCCAGACAAACTCAGCATTAAGAGCACATAAAATTGCTTGCAAAAAAACAACACAAATAAAGGGACGGGGATTATGTCGAAGGGAGGCTTATGCGGGTTTTCTATGACATTTGAGGTTAAAGGGAATCCAGCAATCTTGAACGTGACATCTAGTACCTCAGCTCAACTAAACAAAAATCCTTGTATTACGATTTTCGCAACTCGAAGCCGAGCTCAACTCAGGCTGAAACGCCCAGGCGGACGGTGCGATTATGCGTTTTTGCACTTTTCGTGTCGTAGCAAGATCGCAAGGAATCACTGTAGCTAACCCTGTGGCATACTGGCCTTCGAAGTGCACGGCAAAAACGCACAAAAACGAGTGTTTTTGCGCGGCTGAGCCGAGTTTTAGTAGTTGCTGAGATCATGGCTCAGAACATGCGGTTTAACGTCATTCATTCCGTCAGAAACACGGACCAAATTGGTCTCGTCATTGCCATGAAAAACTCCAGCGGTCAGAGACAGGGACCGAACTTGCTATGCTCGATTACTGAGTCACAAACTAACCACTAGACCAAGCAATCACGTTCACACACCTAAACAGGGCCCAATCCTTAAATAATTGTGATTTTTATGCGTTTTTTGCAGCTACGCAATGCAAAAACACGTACCAGCCCTCTTACCCAAACTAAATATTCTTGCCCACATAGTCCCACGTACGGCCCGTGAAAATTTTTTGTGGGTAAGCTGCTAACTCGGGAGATTGGAAAGCTGAAATTTTAAGAGGATTTTCCCCGTCCACGTAGGACTTAATGATTTCAAAGCCAACCCCAACGGTGCGAGGCTTCCACATAAGAATCCGTGAAAAATTTTGGCGGGTAAGCAGCTAACTCGGGAACCAGGAAAGCTGGAAAGTTGGAATTTTAGGGAATGTTTCTTGACAATCGTGGTGGCCAGTCTCGATTCTTTTAGCTAGAAGCATTTGCCGGAAAAAACACTGCCGTTAGCAACAAAAACCTGGGGGAACTGCGCAAAAAACGCATCTTTGCACCGGTAGTCGGTGCACTGATCAATTATTACTGTTTACAATCACATCGCCGGTGAAGTAGCTTCACCGTGAATCAGGAATGGCAATGCTCAAAGACATCAAAGCATCTCAAAATGGCTGAAGTCTTTCAGATGTTTCTGTCCAGAGAAGCAGTAAGTTGATAATCTCTTCAGTAATGAAGCGATTATCAGAATCGCGAGCGCGCTGACCATCAAACAATGCGATATTGGCCAAAATAAAGTTGCCAGCCGCACTAATAGAGAACTGGGTAATGAATTAACAGTCGTCCTGGGTAATCCAGATAGCTTCGTAATGGTCAGCATATATCTCCGAAAAAAAAAAAAAAACAAGAAAGGCAGAGCAAAGAATTACGCCATGAAGGGCTCATAATTGGCTGTTACAGTTTTGATTATTGAAATCACTTGGAAACTACGAAGTGAGTAGACAATGGTGAACAAAAAACAAAAAGCTATAATTTAAAAAAGTTATATTTTCGAGCTAAAAAACAAGTTATACTTTCGAATGATGAACAAAAAACAAGTTATAATTTAAAAAAAAAGCTCCTGGGAAGGTCATTCCCTTCCC